GAGACAGTTGTAAGCACTGTGTAACTGCCTCGAGGGTGCTTGACCATTTTAACACAACGTGGTGCGATCATCCCCCTTGCGCGGAGTGAGGGTTCTCGACCCCGCACAACATGATCTACTCGACCACCACTATTTGTTACCGCCAAAAAAAAAAACGGAGGTAAACCAAAACCGGTCACCTGGCTGCCGAGTTCACGAAGTGAATTGGCTTGTNGGGGGGGGGGGGGGGGGGGGGGGGGGGGGGGGGGGGGGGGGGGGGGGGGGGGGGGGGGGGGGGGGGGGGGGGGGGGGGGGGGACTCTGCCCATTGCAAAAAAAATGCACTTCTGTTCAGCTTCGAAGGGGGGTGGGAGCACCGCAGATTTCTGATGTCATGGGGGTATCGCACCATCATGTTTCTTATTGGGGCGTTTCTTACGTTGTGGCCGAGATTGAGCTATGTTTCTTAGCCCTTTTTTCTTATTTTTCGTTCAAACTTGAGTCTTTTTTCTTGACAGAAATTTTCGTAACTGCGGGCGCTGTATTTGTACGCGAAGGGAAGGGGTGGCGAGTACCGTGAGACGCAGTACCTTCTTTCGAAAACCGTTCATTTGTTTACTCATAAAACTCAACGTAGAGCCAAGCCGCGGGGGGAGGTTCAGGGAACTCTTCGCGAAATACATTTGGAAGGAAAAGCCATCCAGGTAGCTTTTGGTCTCCGCCGGGACGACAGTGATACGTGCTGGTGTTCCTCGGTGCGACGCTGGAATACGCTCGTTTTTTCTTTGTTTCACAAGAATGGGATAAATATATGTCTACTTGGACTTTCCTCCTCCTTCCGCTGCCGGCTATGCAGTACATTAGTTGGTTACGTACAAACTGGTGTGCTGTAGTTGTTTTCAACACTCCGACTGCTGTAAATCTCATTTTAAGTAATGTAGTTATGTTCGGCGTCAACAAACGGTTGCCAGTCGTCTGGGCGATGATGACTTTTCGTACCACCCCCTTCCTTAGCAAAATGCGCGTAGTTTGAGGTATAGCATGGCTCCATTGGCCCTCGGGATGGTGAGCTATCGTTCCCTGAATTTTAAGGACGCAACCCCGCTTTAAGGACGCTTTTTTCGGGAAAAACCATGTGCGTCCTAAAAGCGGGGTCGACTGTATCCGACTTGCACGAACGGATCATTTCACCAACGGACCGATCAATCTACACCGCGCTCATGGATCGATTCACGAACGGACCCATCAATCAACACTTTTAGGGGGCGGACGGGCGACAGCGGCAGTTGGAGGTCATGCATCGGCTGGAGGAGATGGAACACGGTTCGAAGAAGCGGGCAAAGGTAGTCGCAAGGGTCGCAAGGGAGATTGCGGAGCTGAGAAAAGAGGGCCGCGTGGAGAGGCAAAGGATAAGCCAGCTGCAGCAGGTCAGTGGTTGTCTGTTGCTTTTCACGGCAGGTAGCGGTGTACTGCTCTCCGAAGCAGCGTAGGGTTGAGCTGCAGCAGGTCAGGCGTTGCTTGCTGCCTTTCACGGCAGGTAGACGCGTATCGCTCTCCGAAGCAGTGTAGGATTGCCAACCCTAGGCTGTAGCGGGTCAGGCGTGCTTGTTGCTTTTCACGGGAAGTGGTCGTGCACATACCTCTCTCGAAGAAGCATCGGTTTCGCCTTGCAATCGAGTTTGGTTTTTCGTCGTGGCTTTGGTTGTGAGCCTCGGGGTGCCGTATCTGTCTGCAAGAAAGGGATCGTCTCGGCAGCGAGAATGTTGATATTTGCATGTGTCGCTTTGCGTCTATCGTAGATAGCAGGCCAGATGTTCTTCGCGTTAGTGGAGTATTCTCTTTCGTTTGTTTCACATCACAGCTTGTTTCGATATTTGGCGAACCGGTCTCCCCACGCGAACGGATAGCATGGGACCTCTACCTACCACGGCGGTTCTCGAGAGAAAAAACACGACTGCGGTTCTCAGGGATGTCAAGTGTTCCTAACATCCCACGGAACGCACCTTTCCCACTCGTCTTCGGGAGCCTGACTTCTCCCTAACTTGGTTTGTCTCGTGAAGCCCGGTCGCAATAGTTACTTTCCCACTTCGAAATTCTACGGGTTCCTCGCGCTTACATTGTCGAGTCGATCTCAAGACTACTCTTTACGTTTGTCATCTATATCTTTCGGCAGGTTCAGTCTCACACTCCCCAGCCGCAGAAGGCGCCAGTCCCTACTCCAAGCATCCCCAGCAGCAGCAGCAGCAGCTGTGGCAATAGGAGTTTCCTTGAGGCCTTATCGCTCGAAGACTCTCCGGCGGGCCCTGCTGTTGCCGTAGCGCATCAGCACCCAACGCCAGCTAGGAGGTGAGACACCCTAATCCCGACAGCTGTCGTGGGCAAACTGTAGCCGTAATCTGTTGAGGCTGAGAACTGGCCGCCGTGTGTAAGTCCTACCAGAACTTGGTTTCATTGGCTAGCAATGGAGTCGATTTTTTTGCTGCAAGCTGCAAAACTGCCTCGTGAGATGGTGATGATACCTCAATCCGCCATTTCCTACATGTAGCCGGGGCAGGAATCGCACCACGATGACACTGTTTCTGGATCTATGATTACACGCGTGTTGTTTGTGAAACCGTCAGACGTCTACAACATTGAACGCTCTTGTTGCCGTTTCTCCAGGCAGGGATTTTCTACGTTTGATTTCACCTGTTGACTCACAACGCACACTACATTCATGACGAATACAAAAGATTTCGCGATAAAATCCAACGCTGCCAATCCGCCCGTTTCTGCCTGATGGGGCATACGGCACCCTTTGCGTTTTCCTGATTCAAGCCTTCAAGCCTTCAATTCAAGCCTCTGCATCTCCGTTCCTTGGGACGTGACCGCGATAGCGATAGCGATAGCGATAGCGAAAGCGATAGCGATAGCGATAGCGATTCTCACTTTATTTTCTTTGGTCCCCTCGCGTGCTCTAAGCTGGTGCTGCTTGTGAGCCCGTTTTTCCATCTGCTAATATAGTGCACCTATCTCCCGTTCTTTCATCAGCGAAAACCGAGCCGTGTCTTTCTTCCTTCCCTTCCCTTCCCTTCCTTCCCTTGCCTCTCCTCTCCTTTTCTTTCCGACGAAACCAGCGAGTCAAGGTCGTCCATGTCAGAGGGACAACTCCGAGGGTCCTTCAGCGACGGAGAGCTGGTCAGGTTGACCCCCTCCGGTGCCTCCAGGTACAACGCCCTCGAAGAAGGGGAACTCCCTCCTCCGCCCCCGCCTCTGGCCCAGACCCGCGGTAATCGGTCCGGCGAGGGTGAGGCCCTGGGGGGCAGCTACGCCGGTCATAATTGGAGCTCAGGAGGAGGAGGAGGGGGGCCGAGACCGCACTTGACCCTGCTCATGCCTGCGCACCCTCGCCTTAAGAGGGGGGGAAACCGGGGGTCTTCGCGTGGCAGGCGTGTCCAGGCTCCTCTTTACGCCCAGACTGATGACGGTAAGGGGTGTAGCGGCGGTGTTGCTGGCGGCGGTGGCGGCCGGCGGCGTGGTTCACGGTCTCTAGGAGGACCGTTCCCAGGAACGGTTCGCGAGGACGGTGACGGTGGGTTAGGCAGGCCAAGGTTTCCGGAGCAGAATGCAGGCCTTGGTGTCGATATCGGTGGTGGCGTCGGGGGTGACGCTGGATCGCCGTCCCTAAGCGACAGCGGCCAGAGCCTAGAGCCGGGGCAGGCGGCGCACAGGCTTTCCTGGCACGGGGACGATGCCCGTAGGGGTTTCGGGGTTGCTAGCGGCGGGGTCGGGGTTGCCGGGGCATCGTGGCTGCGTCATCATATCTCGACGGCGTCGGAAGACACTGGGTCTTGTTCAGTCGGGGAGGCGAGCAGCGGGGCGGAGATGGGGGAGGCGCCTCCTGCTTTGTCGGAGGAGGATTTGGACGGTTTCCTGGAGGAAGGAGGCGGCAGGGAGTGGGACCGATCATCGCGGCCCATGGTGGCGTTGAAAGTTGGAAACAGGCCTGGCAGGTGAGTTTGTGTGTCATCGACCCGTGTTCGTAGATGGGTATCGTAGTATAGCGCCGGGTTGAACCGAAACGCCTGTTGGCTGTACACAAAAAAGCGTGTGTCTGCGCTCGCTCATTGGCTGAGCATGGGATAGAGCACGAGTCGAGTGCTAAGTTAGAAGACCTGCCGCCGAGAAATGTCAATTTTCGAAGGAGAACTGTTTCCCGGTGCCCGCGTGTACGAGGCATCCCCTATATCTAGACTATGTCACCTTTCCTACGGGATAAGGTAGAAGCCCCACACCATCTCCACTTCTCAAGATGTTTGTTTCGGAACATGTGCGCCCTTTATGGGTGATTGGCCTGTGACCACTTACGGCGTCAGTTGGGCAGGTAGGGATGGATGTTTGAAGGTACTGAGCAAAGGCCGGATGGTCCTTTTTTTTTTCGCTAAGAGAATTTTTTTTCGCCAAGAGAAAACACCAAGAGATGTGTGCCACAACAAGAGAGCTATGCCCGAAACAACTCGCCCTCCGTGAACACCAGGCGGAGAAAAACGGAGATTCAGCGCGCCGTCGCAGAAGCTGAGCTCGACCTGTGCACCGCAACCGCTGTGGACTACTACCGTGACCTCGCCCAAACAACGGAGTTAGCCGCCGAGCCCGCCGGGAAGGAAAAGGGGGGCCCCGCGGAAGACTCTGATACAGCAGCAGTAGTACCGGCAGGCCAACTCAGAGATGCCGACGATGGTGTAGTTGGGGAAGATAAGGAGGCGTTTTCACCGGAGCAGAAGGACAGTGACCGAGCAGAGAGAAAGGAACTTGAGCCAGGAGAAGTACCGTAGGGTTTAGGGTCTTCTAGGGCCATCGACCCATGTGTGTGTGTACAGGATCGGCCAGCTGCTCAGGAAATAAGCCGTAAAAAGAGAACAGACGCGAATTTCCCGAAGAGTATGGAATTGGGGGTAACGAACATGCCTAGCTTAGCGGTGGATCCTACAGTACATTGCACACATGCTGTATGTATGGTAGTCTATGGTAGTCTATGGTCGATGGTGGTGGCGAAACAAGAACACTGAGATTCGACCCCAAGTTGACGATTGTTACTTGAGAGCTGGATACTATTATAATACTTCGGCGATTAGCGTAGTCTCCGGTTGGTCCACGACAGCGGTATCTCCACTACAGTAGCTACAGCAGCGAGCCTTTGAGCTTCTGCTTCGAATGCGCAGCAGACCAATAAGTCGGAATGCAGTCTATACACCAGAGGTTTCGCGGAATCTAAGCGTGAAAACCACACGCCATACTAAACAGGGACACCATCATAAATTTCCGAACGTTACACCTTAGAAGACAGGTCGCTCGTCCTTGCAGCATTGTGGTTCACGTTGCTTCGCCATGTGGCCCATTACTCGGGTTGTCCCGACTTCCAGAGCGCCGGCGGAACGGAATCAAAATCAATGATGCAGAGAATCTCCCAGCCTACTGTTCACACAAGAAAAAGAATCACTGTTTGCATTCAATCCAATGTGGCTCAGTCCCGTCGTGAGAGGAGAGCCTTATCGTAGGGCGCGAACGGGCTTCTTAGCTCAAGGGCGATCCTGGGCCTGGCGAACAGCCACTGCTGGTACTTGCACTGGAGTACAGCTATTCTAGCCATTAACCCTAACCCAAGCTGTCTTATTCTATCCTGCTCTTGCCGCGACCGGTTCCTTGCATGAACTTCGCATTGGTGATCTTGCTGACCACCTTGAAGTACGATTTTCTCACGGCCCTCGACTTCTTCCTCTCGACTTTCATCTGTGCGGAAGAACGAAAATAAACAGGGCGAGCACCGTTCATAAGCACAAAACGTGATTTTCATAAAAAGGAAGCGCGGCGATACCCAACGACTCGGAGTAGTTAGTTTACTGAGGGTCACGGTTACCAACAGGGCATGGCACTACTAGGCAATGGTTACGATAAGGTTTGGACACCGTTAACTGGAGTTAGATTAGGAAAGGAAAGGAACGGGTGAGACACTTCCGACCAACACCGCGACGAGAGATTGAACAGCCAGACACGGAGCGAAACACACAAAACAGGCTTGATTTGGAGAGGGGAGACTTTCCCAGCTCAAACTGGAGATTATGTTGCCTTTCGAGCCTCACCTCCGACAAAGCATCTCCAACAAGGCAACGATTCCGCATGTGAGACCGCTAAACGACAACCACATGCTCCTCCTACGCTGCCTTATCTAGCTCCTCACCCTCTTGAGGTTGGTGTTGGGGTCGACCGGCAGCCAGGAATGCTCGAACTTTCCCCTGTCGACAAGCTGCCTCACGAACCGGAGCTCGTTTTCGTGGGGCTTGATCCTCAGCTGCTGCATCGTGTCGAGCACCCTCCTCACGTGGGGGATCTCGTGTCTCCAAGCCACTGCTCGCCGAGCCCGCGCGTTCAGAATCGCGGCCAGGATTCTAGACACCGGGAGAAACACCACACAAAAACAACAAGACATTAGACGATAAACAAACAAACTTTGTGGTCAGGACATTGGACGACAAACAACAAGCCTCGGGTGATGAGGAATGTAGACAAACACAACCAAGAACGAGACATTACTACTTCAAGTACAAGGCAATTTACAAACTCTTGACAGTCAGGAATGTAGACTATTATAATAACACGAACAACAAGACACTGGACGACAATCAAGAAGTCTTGGGTGATGAGGAATGAAAGTAGATTAATACCATGAACAAGACATTGGAAGATAATCACACGCTCTTGGTGGGCAGGAATGTAGATACACAGGCCACGAAAGACTACGAGACAAACGAAAAGTCTTGGGCGTGGTCAGGAATGAAAGAAGTGAAAGGAATGAAAGGAATGGAAGAAGTGAGAGGAATGAAAGGAATGGAAGTAGATCAACACCGCGAAGAACAAGACACAGAGGAAGAGGTCAGAAGAGAACGATCACAAACGTCGCACGATTCTATAGCGAACACGTTGCAAACTGCTAGGGTCACGCGGACGCCCGACTTAAAAGCGTCGAATAACTAACTCTGGGTTAGGGTTGTTAACTTGGACGAATCGCGTGGACAGGGATGTTGTTCTACCTTTGCAAAACGCCTCCGATCCGTGGCTTTTCGGGGGGGGGGAATGGCAGAACAAAACTACCGTGCTACTTTGGGCAGCCCAGGACTTTAACTACCCGAATAATCGTCAGCCACAATCACGCACCATGGTAAAAAATCAGCACAAATATGCCCTGGTGCAAACTCGTCCTCGTTAATCGTCCCCGCTCACCTACGGTTCGGCTTCACGCCGTTCTCCTCCGTCCACCTCTGGACGAAAGCTTCAGCCAGGCCCACCCCTCTAGTGTTGACGTACATCTCCACCACCTGCAGGGCGGCCTCAGCGTCGACTTTCGCTCCCTGCAAGCAGTGAAGAGGCGCACAGTATTCCCAACGACGGGCGATTGGTACACTTAAGCACGTTTCAATAGTCAGAGCTGCACCCGCGCTACAAACGAACTCACAGGCGTATACCAAGAGCAGCAGCTTACAGTCAGTAATATTGCTGAGAGCTACGTTGCTTGGATATATCACTCCTATGGCATAAATACTCGCAAGGGAAGGTGCCATTGGGTCACCCATGGGGGCTGCCGGTACAACGGGACACCCGATGAGACACGCCCCCCCCCTTACAGACGAAGGCGTCAGGCCTTTTGCCACCACTTCAGCCCCAGCGATAGCACATCCATCACATGGCGCAGCCAGGTCACTCCCAATTCTCCGGTGCCCCCGCTAGAGGAAAACAGGACAGGAAGGTACATCCCAGGCCTTGTATCTCACACCAGGCCTCTAATCTCTTCCCGAATGTGCAGATCTTACACTACCGCACCAAATCCTGTGCAATAGAAAACGTATTGGGTATAAGTATCACACTAAATCCTGTACTAGACACCAAATAGGTTACGAATATACTATACTTAATCCAGTACAACAACACTTTTTTCTGCTAAACTACACTTCATCCTACACAACCTCCCCCGGATTGGCCCTTACCCCGAACCCAGTCTATTACGACAGACGTCAGAAGCCCCATTACACATTACGCATGCCCTCTTGTTCGCGCGTACCCTCACCTCCTTAGGGTACTCCTCATCCACAAACTTGATGGCCTCCTTGCACCGACGCGACTCCGTCAGAGTCTTCAGCCTCGACCGTAGCATCCGCCGCACCGCGGGGCCCGCCCCCCCCTCCCCTCCGACACGGAAACCCTTCTCAGCATCGGCGGCCCTGGCCGCCACCATGCCGTCGGTCTCGAGTAGCTGCACCACTCCCATGAGCGCCTCCGTCCGCTCCTTGAGCCCTTGGTGCATCAGAGGGGTCCAGTCCTCGTACTCCTCTTCCGCTTCCTCGTCGTCTTGTTGCTGGGTTTGGAGGCCATTGAGCTGGTCCATCACAGAGCCGCCGTCGTGGACGTTGTCGATGTCCTCTACGTCGGCGATCTCCTCGCCGTCCAAGAAAGAATAGGCGTCTTCGTCGTCATCATCGTCACCGAAATGCTGTATCTGCTCTTGGTCGGCCCCCAACCTCTGTGTCCTCGACTCGGCCAACATCTCTTCAAAGGCGGCGTTCGCCTCCAATTCCGGCTCGGCCCTCTTCGCACTAACGTCCTCGAAGCCAAACTCCTCCCCTTGCTCTTCCTCACTCCTTGCGTCAACGTTCTCAATGCCCAACTCCTCCTCCTCCTCCAGCCCCCACTGGTCTTCCTCCTCCTCTTCCTCTTCCCAGTCATCATCATCATCATCATCATCATCATCATCATCATCGTCTGCTTTCCCCCTCAAGTGCGGGTGTCGATTCCTTCTCCTGTCCAAGTCTTGCTGCGCCAACGCCCGGACCTCCTCCATCATGCCCTCCAGGTTGTCCGGAAGCACCAGCCGGCCATCCTCATCCTCGCTCCAACCCGTCTCCTTCGGCTCGCCACCGCTAAACCCGCCATCCGCCTGGTCGCCCTGCAAGAGATCTAGCATGGACGCTTTCTTGAACACGCCTTCTTCCTTGCCGCTGCGCCCCGACAACTTGCTCGAAACTCGCCCAGAGGAGTCGCCAGTACCCTCTGGTGATTGGTACTCCCTGCTACGAGACTTTCCTCCAGACACGTCCTCCTCCTCCTCCTCCTCCTCCTCCTCCTCCTCCTCCTC